TATCCCAGCTCTCACACAAATCGAATGATTTATGTAGCGCATATCTATTTGTTGCCTCCTTCTACCAATGTTTATGTGTTTAAATAAATGAATAAAGTTGGATGCTAGGTTGATGTAAAACATTGCTGATTACTATCATAATGAAATGATTTCTCCAGTACACCGCTAATGTAGGAAGTATGGATTTGTATTCAATAATGTTGATGTTTGAGAAATACCCTTTATAAACTTGGATCACACCACAGTGTGAGAGATTGGATTTACTTTGATTTCAGTGACTGAGATTTCTTAAAAGTATTATTTTCTACTTAGTGCTTAACACAATTTTTATTTAACATCAGCGTCTGTGAATTAATTCTAAGCTCATTAAGAATAGTATATCAGAAATGAAAGGTATATATATACATATGTAAGAAGCCAATATGCGTACTATGAAGCAATGGAACAGTAGGTAGAATGAACTGTGTACATAAACCTTGTACACCTTACAACTCTTTCTTCTGAGGAAAATCGATAAAACACTTTCCTTAAAAGGTGTGGCAAAATTTTGCGGAATTCGAATTTTAAATGTTGGACTAAATCAAATTTATCGAAACATTTAATGTGTGATAATTGAACTAGTAATCTAACTGTTATATTATTCTATCATGACAAACTATTATTTCATTAAGAGTCTCTTGTACCTTCATTTAGGTTATCTATGGATGTTTCATTCATCTTGTACACCAGGAATGTGGAATTAGAGTTAAATAAGTTCCTCCCGACCTAGATATTTCATTTAAACTGGATAATGATTTAAGAAAATAATCCTACCACATTATTTCTGCAATACAATTCCTGTAAATGTATGATAACCAACCCCTCTGTATCAATTTACATCTTATGAAATAATGTTTATCAAAGGAATAAAGAGTGTAAGGAACATTGAAAACATTATTGGACTGTGTTGAATCAGTCAGAGATCAGCATTGGCGATTTCAAGGAAGCATAAGTAAATGGATTTTGCTAACTCCACAAAATTAATTAGATTAGCAGGTATAGATGTTCACTAATTATTGTAAAAGGTTTTCTTTCGAACAGTTCAACTAAAGATCATCAAGGATTGTAAATAGTTAACGACATTCGATATAATGCAGCTAATTCCTAATACAAGTAGCTGTCAAATCAGGTTGTTAAAGAACTATAAATTTGTAAGAGGTAACGATGCTTTAATCCGCAATATTTTACCAGTTGAATAGCGTATTTCACTATGAGCCTTTGCTTTTGGAATTTATAGTGAATAATGTCTGGCTGCTGCATAACTAGAATGGAAACTATACAATAAACAATGCGTTTATAATAATAGACAAACTTTTGTGGAAAAATGATATTTCTGACGTTTCGTGACATGATGCAAGCCACTTCTCCAGAGTATGTTTGTGTATGTTATGTATAATAATCGTAGAATCTAAGTAGAGAACTTCTTGCCAGCTATTAGTTGTATCCCGAGCAAAATAAACGTAGCCCAAAATTTAAGATTTTTTCGTGATATAATTGACACCTGCTCTAGGTATTGTTTTGAAAGAGTAATAATTGTTTGACCTCAATATTGTTATATCCGCTCTCTTACTACTTATAAATGAAAAAACATTCAAACACTGTAATTCACACGACGTAAAATTAGAACATCAAGACTGGTACGAATGAAGATTTATTAGCTCAAAAACACGCCGACTCTAGTCGAAAATACACTAATTTAAATGTAGTCAACGAAAACTCAAGTGAAAACAACCAATTTATTAATTCATACAAAACTGCAGAATATCTTCTTAAAATATGAAAACCATAGATCAAATTCTGCATTTGTATATCTTTCATCAATTGTCCTTTACATTTTGTATGGTTCATCCAATTCACCATTCCTTTCTACTTTCCTTTTTTCGATTCGATCTTCTTAGCATTCTGCTGCCAGCCATTCAACTTTTGATTGGTTTACATAGTACTTATATCTGTCGACATATGTAGCATAAACCACATATATATGGATTGTGTAATATTTCGATTAATAATTGCGATAAAATCACATATATGAAAAATACTCAGAGTTATAACCAATCACATGCAGCATGTCATTGCTGAGGATAGCTCTTGCTGATTTACTACAAGAATATCTTGTCTTGAATAAAACATCACATTCAAATAGATTAATGATATACCGAATAAATTATCGCACTTAGAAACAAAACAAATACTACACTGAGTAATTATATCACGTTGAATCGGAAACGAAAGTAATGCTGAACAGGAAGCATAATAAGTGAAGAAATGCAATTGTGCCTTTTTAATCACGTCATATCGAATATCTTATATATATGAAGTATTATTACTGTGTTTTGTTAGGGTCACATCTATTTCTCGATATAGATAGTAATAAAGTCATAAATCAACATAAGATTATGAATTTATTTTGTCTTGACATTTTTAATATTTGAATTCATTTGTCGATTAAGGCTAAAGGACCATGAGAGTCCTGGAAGCACTGGATGGCCGATTCCTCCCAGTATGGGACTCCCCAGCAGTGCGCACCCATGATCCCGCCGTTGGGATTCGAACCCAGGGCATTCGGTCTCGCGCGCGAACACTAACTTCAACCAATTCGCTATATTGCGCCACCGTCCACCATTGTCTTCAGTGAATTACTATCTCACAACAGACACGGTTGAACTCCAATGGAGATCGAAGATATTGGGTTCGAGTCCATACCATTATAGTACAGTTAAACAGAAAGTTTTAAAGATGGATTTTTGGCAGAATATAGTTTCCAAATAATACTAACAAATGACAATTAGATCTGCAGAAGTTATAGTGAATTATCTGTAATCACATTTAACGCACATCTTTAAATTATCTCTTATAATAAGACGTGATTTTAAAAATATTTTGCCTACATACAACCATTTAATATTTAATTTTACATTTATAAACTGATTAGCTTCCATTTGCTCAGGCATTGTTTGCCGATCTATTTTTATTTTTTGGAAATTGTGCTGTATTATTGCAATTCACTGGAAAACCTTATAAATATGATTATTCTTATTTTATTACATTTTTGTAAACTTTTCAATACCCTGTTAACTTGCGTCGTATTTATCACAGCAAACTACTGTATACCTCAATCGTTTACGGTAGTTAAAAGACTCCTGTAGAGTAGTTAAGAAACAAAGAATATTAGAATGAACAATATTTTTTGATAACTTCTTCAGGTTCTACATTTGCAAATCCATAAATAGTGTATATGATAACAGAAATATTAAATTTTGGATACCTAAAGCTTCAATTCTTTTGAGCTTGTGAATACACATGTATGAGTAATACTGTAGATAACAATCCTCAACGTATATTTAATGTCAGAATACAAAAGATGTAACCAAATGTGATGAGATACATGTTGTACTTTCCTAAATAGCCAAAGTTTTCTATATTATGTCACTTTTTATCTTTTTTAATACAATATCAAATTTATTTTCAGATGAGTTTTGTGGATATTATAGTAATTTCAATGGTTAAGATCATGAGTCACTCGAAGCCAGACCACCATGGAAAACATGGAAGCACTGGACGGCCGTTTCGTCCTATCGTAGGGCTCCTCATCAGTGCGCGTCTATGACCCCACCCCCTGCGAGACTCGAACGCACGACCTACTGGTTTCGCGTGCGATCACTTAACCACTAGACCATTGAACTGGCCGGCATCCAACGGTGTTAATGTTTTACTTCAACTAATCCACGAAATTGTGCGACACATCCACATTGTCTTTAGTGAGTTACTATCTCACAATGGACCTGGTTGACCTCCACTGGTCAGTACTTCTCACTAGAACTCCAGAATATACCCCTCGAAGACAGTCACTAGTGAGCATGCGTTTTATTGTTTGGAAATTCACTATGTCGATTGTTTATGTTATGACCTCATTTATCCACCTCCCAATATAGTCGAAATTAAGTGCTTATCTCGCTGTCCAGAAGTTGAGCATTGATGCACGATACTGAAGCCCCTACGTTTGACATCTGGCGAGATAATGGATGTTCACTGCTCAGGACTCCCTACTAAGACCAGACAGCTAGTCACTACTTCTTCGTTTTAATTATTCTTTGACTACGGCCAGTCCGCAATCCGTACTAAAAAATTTTACTGTCTCGAAAACCCGTCATGCCAACTGTTATAACCTGTGACTTGTGTCCTATTAATGTATAACGTAATGATACCGCCGATTAGAGAACAGTGAATTATCGATTAGACAAATGACGCGTAAAACAAGTACGAGCAGTCTATAGTCCTTATCGGTCGTGCTTCCCAGCCAGTTAAGTCCAGAACACCAATCTCAGCCTCTAAAATATGAATCATTTATTTCAAACATACTGGGTTTATATACCAATGAAACAGACCACATCGTACCATAAAATACGAAACAACATTTGCACGAGATCTAGCCCAAAGTGGCTGTGAATATGGGAGATAGTAGTTGATAGACTGGGTATAACTCAAGAATGGCAAATCGTATAATAACAGTTCATAGGTCAAAACGAAGCTGATAATAAGAGAGACATGAATATGAATAGTTTAGTTACTTAACAATTGTACGATAAAAATATACGTTTAGTATTGGTCCATAAATGGATCCCAAAAGTTACCATTCATTGTTCTCATAACACTAACAATATATTCTTGTTTCACGAAAACGTGCGGTTGTTGGTAAATAGAGCGGACATGTAGATCAGTTAAATTCATTCAAAGATTTTCTCATCCAACATTTTCATAATTCTGAGGTTTTTATGCTGATATGAAGTTTTGTGACCGATAAATAGGTATTTAACATGAATATTGAATAGAATCATAAAATAAAACCAAAGATGAGAATTGTGTATTTTAAAGATTTATTTCAGAAGATGCAAAAAAATTACTCAAAACTTTTAGCGTCGCAAATCAACTTTAGGGCGGAGGATATGTAATTCACATTACTTTCACCATATATCGCATTTTGTATCAGGATTCATTGGTGAACCAACTGGACATCCATATGCATGTGCGAATTCTTTGCTATTAACCAACGCCCCGAATACTCTTAGAATGTAGAAAAGACAAAATTATTCCGTTAGTTTGTAGAGTCGTAAACTAAATACAGAAGAACTATAAAGATTCCAAACTGAAATTACTGTTTTCTGAAAAAGATTCTGAAAAGTTAGTAAGATTCAAGGTAAATTAGGGGGGGTTTGTAGACCATCAGAATTCATTACTACATGAGTTTTATAGCCATTTGTATTGTGGGCTTAGTAACATGAGTACAGCATTCAAAGAAAATGAGGTTGATTTCATCTAGAAAATCCAATGCTAAATATCTGTGAACCTTCGTTATATACTGCATTATTCGAAATAAATAGTTTTCTTTCAAAAATGGCAACGTTGGGTACTAGTTTCTTAGATTTCACTGAACGTATTGTCTTATGTATGTCATCAAAATATAATTGCTACACATTTAATTAGATATTTTTACGATAATATGAATGAAACATTTACTCATCTCATATGCAATTTCAATTTCTGTCAATGCTCACCTGTATCTTTCCATTACATGTGGAACAACTATTGAATGTATTAAAAGAGAAGTTCCACTATGATGTCCACAAAGAGACTTGAAAAGTAATTAAAAAGAGAGATTTAATAAATTGCTAATTATAGTTTCAACAAGAACCCAAAATCATACAGTTAACTTTAAGCAAACACCATTCCTATCATACTTTTGGCATACATAGTTCATAGTTATATAATATACCCTTGTGGGCCAAAATATTTTTACATTGTTTTTCAGGAGAACCAGATACCACCCAGACCTTCACGTGACAACCCAAGCAGTACAACTCAATCCCGTTTAACAGAAGAGACAGACACCGCCCAGGCTTAAATTTTATAAACCGAGCAGTACAGCTCAATCCCGCCTCACAGGAGAACCAGACACCCCGTAGGCTTTAACGCTACAATCTGAATAGTACAGCTCGATCCTGTGGCGCAACCACACAGGTTCCAAGCACCCTGGTGGACCATTCGCACCATTCATATACACATTCACATCACCTGTATAGTTATTCCGATCAATGATCGCGTGAACCAATTGTGCACAGCACGAACGGGTCAAAGTCGACCTATTCCGCATACGCCACAGTCAAACTCATCAATGACGACATGCCTTACAACGTCACAATGACAATGGCCCTTGAGAACACTGAAAAGCAACCACCAGTATGGATGAAATCGGTTAACCGGCAAACCAATTTGGGGCATGAACAGTCAGTAAAACTTGCCAAAGCAATGCCGAACCATCCACAATACCAATGGCGAACTTCCAGCCTCATATTAGACCTTCAGCCCTACATAGCCATATAGCTTATGGGTTTGGACACGTATAAAAATGATATGAATATTTGAGATATTTGATCAAATTCAATAAGTTTTCAAATGAATATATTTGAGTTAGTTGGTAATTGTCGCTTTACCAATTTATTTATTGGTCTACATTTTCAACTTGATTGATTTGTTAGTTTCTATTGTTTAATTGATTTCACTAGACTGGATGGAAATTTTGCCAAGTTGGAATTTTTTTCTACTAAATTTCCAAATGAATTTAATGATAATTCATATGCAAGTGAATGATTCACAAATACGTTTGATTTTGACGCTTTATTGAAAATGGAGTGAATTGGTAAGTCTCCTAGGCTTAATAATGTTGTTATGGGGTTTATATCCTGTCTGATAGATTGTAAATAGAATAAATCGGAAAAGAGTTTGGTAGTTTGAGTCAATGTGGAAAAATATTTATAACCGTTGAAGAAGCTATCAGTAGTTAAGTAGATAACGTGATGGCATTTAAGGCGATTGGTCTCAGAGTGAACATCAACTATGGACACAGGTACATCCAGTTGAAGAGTCCTAAATAGGTTGAATCGCACTTCCTGGAATCCACTGCTAGCCATCGTACACCTTCATTTACACTAAAGAAACTGTTTTTATTGTTTACTGTGTATGTCTACTAAAATAATAATGCCAGCTTTGAAATATGTTGGTGAATTAAATCTCCAGGTAAAAATTTAGTAACAGAATAATTATAAATGAACGAAATATACGATGAGCACTGGTTCCTTATAAGTAACTTAACTTTCTTTGGAATTTCGTTATTACTTATGTATATTACTAATGTGTACTAGATTCCGAATACAACAAATAGTATAATATAAAAGTAAATATCTCTAGACATTTTGATAAAACATAGTGATTTATAACATGGAAAAAACTGTGACTTGCTTGTGCAAATGAGAGAAAGAACAACTGATCAGATATAAGAGAGAGATTATAATTTTGATTAACACTATTCGAATACTTCTCATATAAACGCCTGTACGTCTAAGAAATGTAAATAAATTTATATAATATAACGATTATTATAAATGAGTTAATGGCTTTCTAAAATATGGTTGCATTATTGTTATAATGGAATATTTTAATAAATGTATACATGGTTTAAATGGAGAATACTTATCTCAAAGATTATTGATAACTTCGTTTTTTTTTTTACTATCAACAATCAAAACACATACACAGATTGTTTCACATTGTTTGTCGATGTTGAATGAGAATTTAGGGAAAAGTTTCGACAAATATTTATATAATGGACAGGTTCATGGTCTGAGTTGTCTACTATTCTACTCAATGAATAGATATTGAATATTTACTCTAAATAGTAACTAATTCACATACTCTATGATATAATCCAATCCATTTTTCTGAATGATGAATTATTTTGGAACATAGATAAAACTTCTTTTTTGTTTTATCATACGATTGATCTTCACACTTCAAAATAGCAGTGAACTTTACAAATTTGATAGACAATACAATATCATTAGCCGTATAGAAGATTGTAAAATCAGTTTTTGTCTATTGTTTTTTGTATTCAGAATAACAATCACTGACTGTAAAAAAGGAACATCTGACTTCAAATAGCAGACGACCTAACTCAAAATCCAGTCATTTGAAACACGTATTGTTAATGGAGTTTTTGCACTGATATAGTTGAGCCATATCCTTTTAAAATCTGTTTGTTCAATCTCTGTAACTTTAGTCTGATTAAGAGGTGACCAATTTTTTAAAGCGCTGAAACAAATATAAAAGTGCAATCAATATATCGACAATTTGATGTTGTGAATTTTTATCTGACTCGATGTTTGGTGTTATTATTCACTTAACTAGTTGTACAATATTTATTTGGAGTTGGTCGCCAATTATTGTTCTTCAATAAATAGTTATGCCATGTCTAACTCAGTTGTTCGTTCTGTCTCAGCAACCGGTTTTAGGCATCTAAAAGTCTTCTGAAATCAGAAGAATCGCTTAACCGAACTCATCGTTACAACATAGCTAATGTGCTTAATAGTGTTTTCTCACAATTGCTTGATCACTGGATAGTGATTAATGTCAAGTATTTAATTTTTATCTTACTGCTGATCGAATTCTATCGATCACGTTGCTATGTGGCTACTAGTCTAAGTGACTCAATGTCGGATCCCCTATGTTATGATGTAAAGTGTTATATTTAGAATACAGGAAACCCTGTTTGACAGTTCTATTTTCTACAAGTCGACAAAATGTTCCTGTTATATTGAGGGTGGTGGTACTTCTGGCAGATCTGAATAATCATCACCCGGCTTCACAAAAAGCCAAAAGGGCTATTGAATTACATTATGAATCGATATGTCTACCTCATAAAGTTTATGATTTATTCAGGGGAATAATTAAGGATACATTTTATCCTCGATTTAATGTTAATCCGTTTATGATATTTTGCTGACTAAACAGAATTTTATGCATTCATCTTTCAACTGACAAACTACGTACTGTAGTTTTATGTGTTTCTATTTAAGTAATCCAAATGTTTGGTATTTTACTTCAAAGGTTCCATGTTAATAAACATTTCCTATAAGTTACATAAATGTACTTACATAGTAAGACGCTTTTAAACCTCCAATATCGGCTAGAATTTCATCTCGTGTATCGGTTTGAAGGGCCTAGATCAATTAAGTAATTCAAAAACGTGTTATGTGATGTTGTGAACATTGAATTTAAGCATTTTGTATAATTCTGATTTTACATTGAAATGCTCCATGTAACTTCATGACATAAATTTTATCAGTTAGTCTACATTATCTATAATAGTCGATCATCTCTGACATAATGAAGACATCAGCAAAATTATAAATCACTTTGTAAGGAACTTATAGTCAGTTCTTACTTACGTTATCCCTTTCATCATAAAATTGATTGAAATTTTAAGATTATTAAATCTCCCTAATGATTTGGTGTTAGATGAATGTTCTAATGTGAACTCATATAGGTTATATGAAATTCAGGGTTGGAGTAGATGATATTGGATTGTTTTCAAAAACCATTATGGGGTAAAATGGTAGCTAAGCAAAATAACTAAAAGAAAAAAAGGCTTTCAATGTACATAGTAAACATCTAATTGGACAGTGTATATTCATTATGAATAATGTTAACTACACACATTACATTAATAGTGAGTCCCGTAACATTTGATTTTCACGATAAAGGTGAATTATGTAACATAAATATTTTTTCGGTTCATATATTTAAAGCAATTAGTCCCTTTGATAAATTTCGTTAGTGTAATAAAAAGACGAATACTATCAGAACGATGTGATATATTAGCGCAACACATTACGAACAATCTGATCACACATAATATGCTTGTTAAGAACATTGATCAAAGTCAACTAGGCTGGAAATGGGCTGGCGTGAGTTTAACAAAATAAGTAAACCGGTGTTTTGTGTAATGCTGACCAAATGTATATTCCTTGACAATCATAAAATGTTTTAAGTTAAATACAATTCACATGAAGGTTGTTGTGTTTTTCTTTTTATACTAAATTATCGAACTTCTAAGTGCTCAATGACTGCACAAAAATATAGGTATACTTTCGTATGCTAATACCTATAATTTATTAAACTTACTTTGTAATCGGTAAATTCATAAAGTCTATATTGATCACTAATACATGAAGCTTTAGTTTCTATCACAGAAGATAACATAAGACCAGCCAAACCAGTTAGACTAGTACCAGCTGAATCAAACAGTACACCTTGAAATTCAACAAAATTAATGGATTATTATTGATTAAAATGATAATTATTTTTAACATATCATTTTTGACATAATTAATAGTTTCCGTATTCAGTAAACAGTTGACAAATAAATAGTAGAAGGAAGGGTAAACAGAAATCAGTGCATATTTGTTTGATAATCACCAGTTTTCACATCGATCGGAATGAAAGGCTAAAACAATGAATTCGTCAGAAACTAATACAACGGTCACTATAAAAGATGGATGGTGTCTAGCAGTGGAATCCAGAATACTCGTTTCGTTCTATTTGGGACTCATCAGTTAGATGAACCTACATCCTAGCTCTGCTTATAATGCTTATGACCTAAGACAATATCAAGCCGATCCTCATAAGATGCACATATATCAATAAGAAATTAATCTATAGCAGTCCTAAACATCAATGAGAAGATTCAAACAACCAATATCAAAATGAAATTATTATCAGGACAACAGCAGTCTAATGTTGTATGCGAAAACGAGTCTGATATTCAATGTATGGTAAAAGGGTAATACTCAGTATCCATTAGTCGGTGATTTATAAAATAAAATGGTTTTGTGAAGTTCGAAAGATTAAAAACAAGGAAACTAATGAAAACCAAATTACAAATCACATAATTCATCGATTTCTAATTAAAGTTTCCACTACCTAAATGCATATTCAATTGATAGTGAGTGTACTCTCGTGAGACGTGGATCGATGACACAAACGAGCTTTTTATTCAGTTATTACAAGTCACCGATATGAGTATTAACTAAGCTGACATGGATGTGGTCAAGTGTTTGATAGTCAAGCTGAAAAGAATTAATATTTCGTTTGAAGTACAACTAGACTAGACTAGACTAGTTGAAGCCAATCTACCAACCGCTGCACGGTATCACAAGCAAAATCATTTGTACGTTACTGAACTAAACTGAAACTTTAAGGTGTTATTATATTTGAATATTTAGATATTGTGACGATTGATTAATGGATTCTTTCTATTCATATTATAGTGAATTGTCGTGAGATCGCCCTCCTTTCAGTGATGTGCTGATTTCGAGAATGTATCGATACAGGACACAGGTGGTATTTTGTGATTCCGTAATCGTAAAACGCTTAATACTGACATGTGGAGATTGTACACGATGACAAAATATTATTCGGATATTACGTGATGTTTGTCCATAAGATTAGTTTTAACAAATGAGCAACAAACTGAGGTCGTCAAACTCAGGATGTTGATATTTTGTTGATCAGTAGAACAAATGATTCTGATCAATACACCTTAATAATTAGTCAAATAGTAAATTTCTCTATGAATTCATGAGACAATTAAATGATATTGTGGTTTTATGAACAATATTATACCGAAAGTAATAATTTTATACAAGTTAATTAATATTACTTTTAAGAAACTGAAAATTCAGTATACTGATTGAACAAACCTTGGATACCTATTCCGTGCATAATCTCATGACTTATAATCCAGCCAAGTGCTCCAAATTTCGAAGCTAAACTACCATTTTCATAATAAAGTGGAGGTTGCAACACTCCAGCATTCATATAAACACGGTTTGCATTCATATTGTAGTAAGCGCGAGTTGTAAATATCGGTAATTCTAAAGGAGATCTATTCACATAAAAATAATAGTCTTGATTAATTATGTCGTCATCTCTCACTGAACATTTGATAGATTTTTCAACTTAGAGGACAACTATTTAGTTATGAATAACGTATAATAAAAACTGTGACAGTTTTATTGCAGAGTTCTTGAATGTATTGATAGTCAACTACGAAATGTAGTTTTTACCTAAGATTAGATTTTCTACTCAATGAACCATTTGATTTTATTGTGCAATATTTATCAATACTCTTATAAAATAGTTATTTATATGAAAAGTATCTAGTTTACATTCAGTTTCCATGTGCCTTCAAAAGTGAATATATTTCTATCACTTTAGAATGACTTATTTTCGCTGTTTAACGCTACCTGTGTGTTCTATTGAGTGACATGAACGGATGCTGAGAAAAAAATAATCAAAGTTCTAGGTACCAAATTACATGTTCATCTTCATAGGTAACAACAACAATAACTACTACTACTGCTGTTACTAACACTAATAATAATACAACTATTAACAATAATAATCACTCTATTTTAATAACTTAAGTGAAATATTTCTGAATGAATATTATATATGTAATACACTCCGAGACTGGAGTTACAATAAATCCAACGTTTTACTCCATGGTCTGGTCTGAAGTTCGGCAAGTGAAATATTGTCATTGTGATTTCTGTTCATAATTTTTCGCATTGTTATTAACACCAATTTAAACATAATCATTTACCTTCAAAGCATTGAACCCACCTTGTTATTTCTTACTGATTTCATATCTAACACTAAATATCTGGATCTAATGCGTAATTATATTATCTTATCACACAGAGGACAAGATAATTGATTGTATAGCTTTGAAGTGAGTCTACAAATTCAGCTGTTTCTGCTATATTCGGCGTACAATCAGGCAACCGACATATGAGTGAACATACCTTAGCTTGGTCTGGAAAATGCCAGACGAAGATAATGCACAGCTCTGTCTTCGCAGTAGTCGTGTGGTAGATAAATCTTAATCGATTTCAGTGATCTATCGTGAACCTTCATCAGTTTCTAATGGGCTTCTACCACGTCTACTAAAAATAGCAAAATCTTTAGTGATTCCAACGTATAACACTATTTTAAGTGTTCAGAAGTATTTAGTGACACCACTTTCACATCATTGGCCGGTTATCACTAAATATAAGATCTCATTGATTTTCTTGCATCCTGTATCCGTTTATCACTTTTCACCTCCTTCCGTCTATTTTCTTCACTACGTATATAATTACACACTCTCTACTACACAATTTTAATTATTTGTTGATTGCAATTTTAAAGTCCATTTATCTAAGCTTGACCTACCTTTATTGTCTAACTATTGACTAGAACTTTTGTCATTTCTTTTTTTACCACTACTAGTACACCTTTATTCTTCTTATTGATCTGTACTTTCTAATGTGTAGTTGTACAATTTATTTCATTATGACTATTGACTCACAAATTGCTTTGATTAGTTTAATGTTTTTATTAACTCATACATCCATGTATATTAAATTGAAGTTTGATGAAGATCCAAATGAAAACAATACTGTTCGGCTATATGTATCACATTATTATTGTGCTCAACATATATTATATATTTTCATTTTAGTCATTAACCTTGCAATTTCATTTGATACAGGGGACATGTTGAAGTTGACACTGCATATTAATCGTTTCAGCATTAAAAAGTTTCATTTTATTTTATAAACAACTCTGAGTTTCTATGGCTATTCGTCAATATACATCAACAAAATTGATTGTAGGAGAGTTGTAACAGAAGTATAGGGAATGGGAACAAATAATCACCGGATTAACAATTTTTTGGGTAAATTTTGTTTCATTTACGTGATCACGAAAACATACAGGTTTCAGTTTTGACTCATGTGCATGTTGAAATCATTTAGCGAATTGTTAGGTGGAATGGTTTACATTCATACAACAATCATGTTGAATAAATGATGTCAGTTCAAACAATAGGTGTAAATAATAGAAAATGGTTTAGTTATTTAGTTATCTGATGGTAATATAGATTCTGATATACAGATGGAATATCATTAAATTACTGACCTGGTTTAAATAAACGATCTGAAATCACGAAAAAATACTTATTTGAAAAATAATAAGTGAAAGGAGCAGACGGATTGTCATTTGAAAGATTTAGATCATTAGTGATTATTTTACACAGATTTTAGTCTGTTATTTGGGTTCACATTAGTAAGTAGTGTCAAATCTCCTAAAGACGATAATATAAAGATGCTATTTGATATAATAGTAGTTGTAATAATAATAGTAATAATGGACAATTAGCATTTGTCGTTTGGGTTAGAAAATGAATGAAATCTTCTTACTTCATTGCCACATTGAATAATGTAATGAAGGCACAGAAAGTTTGCTTAAGGAAAATGATTTGTACATCCTTCTGTTTTCTAAGATTTTAATTAGCATATTTGTTACAAGATTTAGAGGAAGATGTCCAAATACGAACCAAACACACACTAAATCAGTCCACGAAATCAATTTGATTTCATGGTAATGTGGGTTCTATTCAGTAGAAGGCATCAATCCATAAGATAATTTCGATTAAAGTATATTCAAATCTTTGCAGTTAAATAATAAAATTAACAATTTGTGATAACTTGTATTGTTTTTATATCAGAGATATCATGACAACTTACGGGTTATATTTGTGTAACTGGGCTTTCAAAGTGTCAATATATTTCGCTTTACGGATATAGAATTCATTTATGAAATAATTGTCCTCTCGAATAGGGTACTAAATATTATTTGTGTGAAAAAACATTGACAGAGATCATTTAAAAGATGTTTAAAGCACGTTCTATACATTCTGTTTTCCAGTTTATTGAGTAAGTATTTCTGAATCAAGGGTTTTGGGAAAATGCAGTGTCATTGAAGCAACATTTCGGATTTTCATTGTCAAACTAATCATTGTCACATAAATTGACTTTCCTCAATTTGTAACGCCGAAATACTGAAATGATTTGACTAATGCATAAAATTGTGCGAATAGTCCTCGTGTGATTATAAATTTTCTCACTTGTACTATTACGAGATTTTAGGTGATGATTTCGTACACGCATCCAAGTAGTTGAATTATGGTGAGATTGGTGTGCAGTTTTTGATGACCAGCAGATTGGTCCATAAATTGACCGATATATTTGAATCTGTTAGGATTTAACCTCTGAGTTTCCGAACTGCAGAATAAAGACCAGTGAGTTGAGGTTTCTCTGCCACGTAATGATTGAGGCAAACCAATGTTGTTTGGAAATGTGAAATATGGTTTTATTACACTAAGTTTTATCAATGATGAGTTCTAGGAACAACGGTGTTTTATAAGTTTCACATGTCTCCTCCGTGATAACCGGAGTTATTTTGTGTAGAATTAGCTTATTATTATGTACAATGATATATAATATAACCAGTTTTCAATCAAATAATCGTTAGTTGTATCAAATGGACATGTAAAATAATTTATTTTTCAATAGTGAAATAAGTGTAGTTAACTTACTTGGAATACTGTTGAGAGATTTTCTTTTTGTTGAGAAGCATTTTGATTGGAGTACAAGGCAAATATGCTCAATTTTGAGACCTTGTCTTGCAAAAATGGCTTTTCTGTCTCACCCAACCAGTTGAGTTTTGATATTGAGTCAATTACAGTGAGTTTAATTTCGTTAAACATATTGATCACCTGTAATTCAGTTAAAATTAACCACACTGAGAAAGTTTGTGTCATGTTTGAAAATCATTACGAACAAGTTACAAATGTAAAAGAGATAAGTTGTGAGATTCAAACATGAGCATATCTTAGGCGTGAGCCAAGCAACTTACTAATGAGTTCATGGCAAGTGGTTGTACTATAGCAACTGTCCTACAACCAATTTCGATTATGGTTAATTTTGGTTAAGCTCTTTTATTGACTTACTTGACAAACAATGTTATTTGAACAGTAACAATTTGCATATCTCACTGTACCGTTATGATCACTAAATCACATGACAGACTCTAGCTAAAGTGTGAATATCTTAAATGTCACTCGATGATTCATCCTCCTCCCCATGTATGCATGTACTCAAATCCTATTATTAGTCCTTGCTTTGCCTTGCTGTTCCCTTATTCGATTTAACTATAAATTTGCCTCTGTATTTGCTCGCATAAACATATTCGTTTCTCTGCTTCAAATTCGTTTGATATACTAATAGCATTGTGATCTGCGCTATCCGCTAATAAACCGTAGTTACCGCTTCTCATTGCCTTCTGATTTCAAACACCGTTGAGGTTCATTTAATAACGGTTAACAAGGTGATCGATGAACAGGCTATGTCACTACAGTATGATGGATTTTGGTTTTTCAAATCGATCATTGTTCTCTGTTCATCAAGAATATGTTTTTGATATTTGAATTGTGTACCAATATACAGTCTAGCAGAGTAGCTTAACAAGATCATTTGGATGTATATTAGAATCTGTTTTATATAGATTTGGCGAGAAACATCGTATACAGGTGATAAAAACATTTTGAATGGTTACGAGCGTTTAACTAACATCATAGATAGTTGCCTACTCTTACTAAATTGTATTAAGCTTAATCTTGGCAATGTAATGTAATGTTTACAATAATAAAGTCTCATCCCATATTGTTCGAATGATTATTGCACAGTGTAACTCCTAGATTTCAAAAGAGAACACACCAGTGATCACAATTCGTAGGGATTCTGAAGATTATTTGAAAAACAATCAGCAGATTTTTACCGAAACTGTGCTTTTTTCGAGAAAAGTGGTTTGAGTTGACTGTCTGACCGAAACGATGTTGATCATGTGATGTAATTCATGTAGGAACGTATATCCAAAATCGGAAGAATAATTTCAAAACTGTCGAGGGACAGGTTTTTAGGCGATGTCGAAAGTATGAAAGTGTTTTGGAAATTCTCATGAATTAACATCAAAGTAACCCTAATTTTCGCATCATAAACT